AAAAAGAAAAAAAAGAAAAAAAAAGGAAAAAAAAGAAAAAAAAAGAAAAAAAAGAAAAAAAAAGAAAAAAAAAGAAAAAAAAAAAAGAAAAAAAAAGAAGAAAGAAAAGAAAAGAAAAGAAAAGAAAAGAGACCAGCAGAGTCAGCAGACTATTGGGGGGAGGAGAATGCACAGACCGTGACAGACGAGAGGCAAGAGAGACATCATACAATCTGTTGGCAACAGATATCAGAGCACAATGGCAGAGGACACGAAGGCAGGCAAATGCAAACCCGGATCGGGCCAAGGATCTAACTAATAGAGAAGTTTCAGAAGGGGGTACTAGCCCAGGGTAAGGTAGCTACAATAGAGGGAACTAGGTTGGTGACACTGTACCAATGGTTCAGGGAAGGACAGCAAGGGTCAGTGGCAGGGTCGGAGAATGACGCCCAAATAGCAGAAGCATAGAGCACGAAGGGGGCATATTAGGCAGGGAATAGGGGAAAATCGCATCAATAGGCGTTACGGTAGGGTTTAGGGTTTAAGCCACTAGTACATGGCCCCCAGCCTTGCAGCCGAAACGTCAAACGCTGGGCCTGTCGTTGATAAATTCGATGGGCGGTCGCGTTTTCGTTTTGCGCCTCCAGAATCTGAGGTGTCAGGCCCGCGGCCCAGGTGCCCATGTACTGGTGCTTTGAAGCGAAGGAATTAGGAAAGGGAGACTCTGAGGGGAGAGATTAGAAGGAGATTGGGGAGAGAGAAGAAGGAGAAGGAGATTCAATGGGCAGAGAGAATAAGGAGAAGGAAAATCCACACACTAAGAAGGCCATGCAGACCCGGGTACGTGCAAAAAATGACAATCGCACTTGATAAGGAAACATACAAGAGCAATCAGAGTGACATCTGGTGAAGTCCCATGCTGCCACCATTATTGAAATGTAAAATTATTTGTTTATTTTTTAATGATGTTGGGCACTTGGACCCAGGAAGTGCGAGCCTGTATTTTTGAAATTTTGAGGAAATGTGGCTACATGCTTGGGAGGCGTTCAAGTGGAGCATAGAAGCAAGTCGTGCCTGAGTTCGAGTCCAGATGAACTAGATTGAATTCTGAATTACCTGGGGCTGGGCAGTCTGATGACGATATCTCAAGGTCGTCACCTTTTGAAAAAAAGGGGGGGGAGCAGGAAGTCGTGGAAGTAAAGAAGGTGATTGTTTTTTCCCCCCCCCCCCCCCCCCCCCCCCCTCAAAGGGCGATGACTGAGATATGATAAAGAAGGTGATTGTTGCTGTGGTAATGATGAATAAATTTAGTTTAATTTACTAATTTTCCTTTATAAGTTATAACCTAGGAAGATTTTCATGACCGCCCGGTCACCCGGGCAGGATGCCCAGCGGGGGTCTGACGCCCGGGATACCCGGGCATGGGTAAAAAAAAAAAGAAAAAAGGCAAAATGGCGGTGGGGGTTTTCCTCACTCTCGGAGAGGAGCCGAAATCCGGGCTCTTTTCTTTTTTTGAGTGTTGGCTTTCAAGGGGGGCCAAGGGCCCGAGGGGTATAAATTATTTTTAAGGGGCTAATTTAAAAGGGTTTAAAAGGGGGTGCCTTGGTGTGATTCGGTTATTTTCTTTTTTATCTTCAGTTCTGTGAGGACTTCTGGATGTGGTTACCCTCAGGGGCCTCAGCCAAAAGTTGTTTGTATTGCAATTGGACACAACATGTTTTTTTTTTCCAGATTGCACTGCAGGCTGGGACCCTGCCCGGGGGTCATGCCCGGCCATTCACCCGGATGTGTTTACGGGCACAACTTGGGTGCCCGGGCGCCCGGGAAAACGGCCTAGGTTATAACTCATTTCTGGTTATTTGTACAGTTCTACAACTGAGCTGGGAAGAGTCCCGGTCCCGAGTCCCACTTGGTACCCGAAATCTCAACTTCTGACCGTAGATTATGAAGATCAATGGCCCGAAATGAAGAATCAGCGTAAGTGGGACTTGGCCCCCGTGGCAGCCTGTCAAAATGCTTCGCCTTGAAAATGGGTCGGCACCGTGGGAGGCAAAAAAAAAGAAAAAATAAGGGTCAGCACCCTGCCTGTGGGTTGGACGTGTGACGTGTTCGATGGCGGTGTGCCAAGCCGATTTGTGAGATTGTACCTATTTCTTGTCCTAATGGACCTGTCCTAACTAGAAATAGGACCTGTCTCAGGAAAGGACAGTAGTGCAATTTTAGAAAAACATTATGGCATGTGTCTGCAATTTCAGCGCTGTGCATTTAGCCCCTGTCCCATGGTGCTATGCCTGCATAACACAAAGACTCCTCAAAAAAAAAAAAAAAGGACTTCTCTCAGTTGTCTGTAATCCATGAGATTACATTAACACTCAGCAGCAAGCAGCAGCAGCAGCAGCTGCAGCACGTAAACGTAGCATGACAAGGTGGGTTGGGATAAGGGAAAGGGAGGTGGAGGTAGAGGTGTAGGTATGGGAGCAAGGAGGTGGTAGAGAGTGGGTGGGAAGAAGTGAGAGATGTAAGGGAGGGATAGGTATAAGGGCCATACCGGTCGGTGAAAAGGCCCAATGCAAGGTGGCACCAGAAGAAACCGGCAAGGGGTTTAAGCCTCGGGAGGTGTGGCTTAAAGCCAACTCCCTGCTGACTAAACTTAAAGACGCTGCCTTCCCCCAACCCCAGGAAACGCCGCCACTCCAACGCGGGCGGCATGAACTCAAGAGTGGCACCCAGGGTCGGGAGGCTGGATTGCAGGAGCCCCGGCAGGAGATGGACCATCAACGACACACGCATGCCTATCCGCCGGACCCAGGCCGGGCGCCTGGGAAGATGGTGATCTCTCAGGTCACGGGGGAAGCCAAATTCCTGCCTTCCAATGCACCCAGGAAGCTGCAGGAGGAAAGGCTGCGAACCTGGAGGCTGGAACTTGAATACGACGAGGTGACTAGGCACCATCCCCAACGAATGCAAGAGACCGGGACAAAAGACCGACCCGCGGACCAACAACAAACACGGCAGCCACCGCCGGCACACCAAGAGCCACAGCGGCATCTCCAGCAACGGCAGGAGCAACACACGGGATCGCAAACGCAAAATGAGCCAACACTGCAAGACCACCTCCATTCCCAAGAAGTGCAACATCAGCTGGACCAGCAGCCCATGCCTCAGCAGATGATGCAACAATCCCAGCGCACGGCACAACAGGTCCAAACACCGATGCAGCAGTCTGGTCAACAAACGCAGCAGATGCAGATCTTACAATCCCAACCACAAACGACGCAGCCAATGCAAATGCAGCAAGGGCAGCCCGTGCACACTCCACAACATCTACTGCAAACGTTGCTGCCACCGCAGCACCAACAGTGCGACCTGCCACAACAGATGGAGCAACAGCTGATGTTACAACAACCGCAACAAATGGGTCAGCAGGAACAAATGCTGACACAACAACAACAACAACAACAACAACAACAACAACAACAGTTACATCAGCAGCAACAACAACACCACCATCTTCTCCTCAAGAACAGCTGCAAGCACAGGACCAGATGAGGGAAATCCAACAACTCCAACAGCTGTCACAACAACAGACCGGCCTGCACCCATTGCCACATATGCACCTCCAGCAACAACAACACCATACAGCGCCGCAACATCTTCAGGGTGCACCCCAGGAGCCGCATCACCAGCAAATACAACACCACCCAGGGCATCAACCTAAACAGCAGCAACTCCTAGAGGCAGGGATGATGCAGCAACAACAACACAGATGCTTCCACTGCAGCAGATTGTGCAAAACGGGGCGCAAATGGCAGCACACGAACAGGAACAGCAACGTACAGAGTGCGCGGAACAACTGCATTTCCACCCGCAAGCACAGCTGGCGCAGTATCACCACCAACAGCATCAACAAAGGGCGCTGCACCAGCATCAAATACTGCAGCATTTACACCTGCAATGGCAACAACAGCTCTGCTGCCAGCAGGAGCTCATCTTGCAACAACAGCAGCAGCAGCTACAGTTGTTCTGGCAGCATGAGATGGAGACGCAAAGACAGCAACAGCAGCGCCTCCCACTGCACTGCCCCCAAATCGCTGCACCTGACCTTCCGCCTCAACAGACGGGAGCGCAGACGGCACAAGCTATGGACACCTCGGCCCCGGACGAGGTGCAACAGACAACGCAGCTCCGCAGTCTGGAAGTGGGCCAGGGAGGAGAGGACATTGACATGACCCAGGCCGGGGCTTGTTTGGAAGCGGGCCAGGGGGGAGAGGACACCGATATGACTGTCTCTTATACACATCTAGATGTGTATAAGAGACAGGTGTGTGTGTGTGTGTGTGTGTTTGTTGTTAAAGCACCCCCAATTCTCTCTCTCATTTCCTCTGCGAATCATAACAAACCATCCATATCGAAAAAAGTATAGCTAGACAATATGTGTGCGTGGGTGTGCATGCGCTTTTGGGAACATAAAAAAAAGGGGGACAAACGAAAACAATTGGCCAGTACCCAGCCTATGTGGCTGAATGGTACACACATGCAACTTTCCATAAACATCTCATGAGTTCGAATCCTGAGTGTGAATCACAAGGATAGAATAAGGTTAGGGACTAACCCCTTAAAAAAAAAAAAAAAAAGACAATCGGCCACTAAGGGGCATATCTGTGGTTGGGAGAGTCCCGCTTGGCCACAACCCAGAAGCAGGAGATTTCCCACAAGTTTGTGGGACGCTCACCTTTTTTTTTTTTTTTTTTTTTACACCAGCAAAGACCAATGCGAATTCCCTTCTTCTTCGCCAACCACTCTCCTCCTCCTTATCGCCTCCCCTCTTATTCAAACAAGAAATAATAATAATAATGTTGAATGGCTGAACCAGAATCAATGTCCGAATCCCTCTTCTACGACAGGTATCACGTGAGGTCGACCATAGCCATGGCCACCCTTCTTCCTCCTCCTTCCACGGCCGAGGCTATGGCGGACTACCAGGGCACTGCCCTGCTGTGCAAAGGACAACACAAAGCAGCTATGGCTGCTCTAGCTCAGGTCGCCATGCCTGACTCTGCCTCGAAGCTTCTTGGTGTAGCTCTACCCCAATGGGGCCTTCCAGATGCAGCGCCCACCGAGGTGATGCATCTACCATAGTCAGGTAAGTGCCTCTGTCGCTCCTTCCTAGTCCTGGTCTTCTTCCTCCTCCTGTCCTTGCTCCTCCCCAGCAGCGCTGCTAACGCTGCTCCAGCCAGTGCTCCAACCAGTGTGTCGCCAAACTTGCACACCGACAATGAGGAGCACTTTGCTCCTCCTGGAGATATAGCGGCCTGCCTGCCTCTTGGCGAGTGACTTCCTAGGCCGCGCGGCCTCCAAGCAACCGGTACCTCCTCCCTTTTGGAGGGAAACATCATTGCAGACTCTGATATTGCCCGTACAGGCCCTAGACTCAGACTGGTTGGACTGGTACCCGCCTGCACCTAGCCTTTTTTTTTTTTTTTTTTTAAATGGAACCTTATGGTTCCAGCTCCTTATCCATTCTGGGGAGCGTCAGTCCGGTTCCTATTCCACCGGCAAGTCTGAAAAAATTACAATGTGTACACACTCACGCTCCTCCCCCTTGTGGTGTGGAGGCCCGAAGGACGGCATTGATTACTTCCCTGGGGAAGGATGTACCACCCTTCACCCCTGCCTAAGTTAGCCTGTTTTGCTGGGAATGGATTTGTCGTGTAATTGTTGCTAAAACCCTAAACCCTGGCGTGGTACATCTGTGCCTTTGACTTAACTTCGGGGTTCGTAATTGTAACGTACCTTGACGAGGTTGGAGGATACAGTCTGAGATCTAGATGTCTCTTGAGGGGGGCTGTTTGGCTTACGTTGAGGGTGAACTTGGCGGGGGGGGTGTTGTGTTTTGGGGAATGGCTGGTTTGAGGAATGTGAGTTTTTCGTGGTGTACTGAGTATTGTAAGGAAGGAGTGGGGAGGGAGGGGTGGAGGGGGTGCAGCGGGTAGATTGTCGTGGGCTGGGTTGAGGTGGGGGCAGACGGTTGAGGGTGTGGGGTGCGTGATGGGGGGAGTGGGCAGGGCTGGTGGGGGCCGTGGGGTCTTAGATGGTTCGGTGGTGGGTAAATGGTGATAGGGTGGATTGGGGCTGATTGTGTGTGGAGTGTGGCGGTTGTGTGGGAGCTTTATGTCTGTGTGATAGTTAGCCAATTCTTGAGAATTAGTCTTTCGTTGTTAATTGTGCCAAGTAGCCCATTGCCCAGTTTGGAGAAGGAGAAATTTTGGATTATTAGTTTTTTTTTGTCTGGGTCAGTAGGGAGATTCTTGAGTTGTTCTTTCCATAGGGCATGAATTTCGGTGTTTATTAGTTGTTGGATAATAATGAGTGGGTTTTTGGGGGTGGTGAGTCGGTCATCGAAGGTTTTGTCACATCTGTTTTTCCATATGGCCCATAGGGTGCTTTTCTTGATTTGGGATGCGAGGAAGGCTTCAAATCCTTTGAGCGAGGGTGATTGGTTGAGATCGAGGAATAGTGTGGCGGGGTTAATTAGTAGGGGAGAATCTGAGATTTTAAACCACGATGATTCTAGGGCTTGCCAGAGGGATCTTGCCTTTGGGCAATCCATGAAGCAGTGACTTAAGGATTCAGGGATATCGAGGTTGCATACCTTACACTAGGAATCCTCTTCTGATCTATTTCCTTGATTGCGTCCGATGGCCAACCATTTGTTTACTGGGACTGCTCTAAAGGTTATTAGCCATCTCAGGCTGGCTAGCTTAGCCGGTCTTGTGGATAGAACTGTAGCCCAGGGAAGTTTGAAGTGAGTCTTGGATAATTGTGGCTCCTCCTTTGTCCACCTGTTGCGTATTGTGATGGATATTGAAATGGGTTTGGTGAAAAGACGATAACCTAGTTTGGGTGTGTAGTCAGTTAGTTTGCAAGAGTTGGAGATGAGGGTGGAACCGGAAGGGAAGCTCCATATCCAGTCTGTGGGATCAATCTCTAAGTCGCTGATGTTAATATGGGGTTTAAAGACTCTTTTTCTATCTCCTTCTAAGATTTTGATTCTTCGCAGGTTGTTGCTTTTGAAAGTTCCTTCTACTCTGCTCTTTGTATTGATATAGCTTACCGAGTTTCCTGGTTCTTCTAGGGTGTGTATGTTACAACATATCCAATTCTTGTTGTGGGGTTCGTAGTACTTGAATTTGAGGACTTCTTGGATTAATGCAGAGTCATTGGTGGTGGCTCAGTCTCCATATTGCCATTCTTGTTTTGATTTTAGTAGGGCTCGCCATTGTAGGGGGATGCAGTCTATGATGTCTGTTAAGTTAGTTTGTAAGTGATGTATTCCCTTAAGTTGTTCTCGTAGGTCTCTTTCTGTTTTCCAGGTTTCGTTTGGTTCATCCCAAATGTGCTTGATTTGCCATATTCCCTTTTCTAGCCAATGTCCC